TGCAACAGTTTTGTTGTTGTTTTACCAATGCAACAGTATTTGTGGTGTCTTGTGAGACTACTACATGCATAAAACAATAACTAACAGACTGTAAATAAATTACCTATATACCTGTGCCTGGGTTTGCAATTACTGATTATAAATATTATAACATTTTACAGACTGAATAAAGCTCGTCTTACCCTTCTCCTCTCCCTGCGTGAGAGCAGTTGTCCATGCAGCAGCCTCCACACCATCCTGCCTGCAATCTTGATATCGATGCCAAGCAACCGGAAGCCATTGTAGTAATGCTTCAACTCATCAACAATCTTCTGATACAAAGCCTTCTTCACGACTGCCCTCTCCTGCACCGGAGGGGCAGCAGATGCGGTGGTGGCGGCGGCGGCTGTGGGAGTCGGAGCGGGAGCCGGTTGAGCCTGAGCCTGGGGGGCAGCGGAGTCCTTTTTAGAAGCATCTTGGGCAGCGGCTGGTGAAGTTTTAGTGTCTTCCTGTTTTATTTCTTGCAGGAGGACACTAAAACTGGAGCTATGTAGAGAGCGGGCGAGTAGGGTGGAGTTGTGGCCACGGTAACAGTGTGGGGAGCCGAATCGGGAGTGCCTGAGGGTGACTGCGGAGGAGACCTGGCGTGGAGGGTCTATGTGGAGATAGGCTTTGGAAGACAGAGAGGAGCAGCTGTTCCTCTTGGATAACAAATATGATCCCCTGCAAACAGCAACAAGAAAAACTGGTAAGTTATTTCATAATATTGTATTATTGATATGAGCAAATAAAGAAAGTGTAATGCTTGTATTTGATGGCCAGATTATTTCATTAATAAAACATATTATGAATTTGAAAATAATTACTTAGTGAATATATATATATATATATATATAACATAAAAAGTTTGTGTTTCCAGCTTCAGTCGGCTCATATCATCATCGTAACTGAATTTAGGGACATTTCTTAAATCCTGCTTTGTATACCTTTATGTTAATTGGCTTTCAGTATTATTCTCCCCTGCCTTTCCTGGCACATGTATACGTTTTTCTGAGCTTTACTACCCCCTGTAGCTCAATGGAATAAAGTGAAATGTGAAGTTGTGCATCTGCAGAATACAAATAAAGTAAGTCTCAATACCCCAATACAGGTCATAATAAAACTAATCATAAAACTAGACAGACATTTGTGCTAAGGTTTGGTGTAGATAGATATAACTCTTAAACCACCTGTAGAGTTATAACTTATGCATCAGCAGGGTTAAGACTTAAAACATTAACTACTAAAATTACTTGTTGCAAGAATCCTATTACTACAATTGTGATAATGGAATTGTGGCTCAATTAAAATAAAAGTATAGCTAACATAGAATACATGTCAAAGTCTCTGGCAGTTGGTATATTTCGTCTCGCTGCATAAATTGACAAGTTGCTAACTTTAACATTATGTAACAGACTGACTATGCTCATGAGAAAATGGGATGAAAGTGAGGACAAAGCAGTGTCAGATCTTGCATCATCAGTAGAAACCAATGTAGTCCTGTGTTTACATCGTATGTGTCATGAGACACATTGAGTAGGCCTCACTGTCTGCAGCATGCACTGTGTAAACAGACATCTTAAGCTCTCGTGACTTGAACACAGCAGAGGATCCAAGAGTTGTAACTGCTGTCAATCCACTTTATGAAATTAAACATCTCTGCATTTCGTAAAGTTATTTAGTTACAGGATATTCATTTTCTTACCTTGATCTTGTGACTGCAAGAAGCACCTGGTGACTAAAGACGGCCATTGCAGGGGCAGATTGCAATATTCTGTTAAAGGCACACATGGAGACAGGGAGAAAGAGAGAGGGCGTGTTGGTTTCATGTTACACCGGCATGGTCCGACAACAGGCTGACTGGAAAAATACAACAAGCAGTAAAACATGTCCTCTCACATACAGTCTGCTGCTAAAACAGGCTCATTACATAAAGTATGCTGTGCAAATTAGCTGTTAACCATTAGCGCAGACGGATAGCAGTTAAGCTAACATTATGTAACCACTCAACTGCAGCACAGCTCGCTACTAACCTGACATATATTAACCCGGACAATGTAAGGCTCACCGGCTTAATTCAAAGTTAAAACAAACCAATAATCTAATTAATCTATGCACATTTGGATATAACTCCACATACAATTGACATGTTGCCTAGCGTCAGGTTAAATCACACAGCCACTGTTGTGCTAGCTTTATAAATGGTAATGCTAAACTGAGGAGGAAATACTTGTTGATAAATTCCTACTCACGTTAGCTATGTTTCACCAGAAAATGATATATCTCCAATATCTTTGAATATCGAAATATTAGTTCTGTAGAAACCTCTTAAAGTACTTTGAGATTAACATTAGCATCATGCTAGTGAATTCTCCGCTAGCCTAACCTGTTAGCTCCCTGCTGGTGAAATGGCAGTCTGCGGATGACGAGCCCACTAACCTCCAGCGTCAATGACGGAGCTATGGCTGCCACTGCTGACTATGCGTAGTAAGGCTTCTCGGTGAGACGGTTAATAAGATAATCCATCCACAACAATCGGTCGAGGTGAACGGGAGCGATGAAAGTAAGGGCTGGTGTGGTGATAAACCCATTTACGGAGGGTTTACACGGTAAAAGTCGTCGTGTTTGAGCTCCAGGCCCGTTAACTCTTGTTGTGCAGCCTTCCACAGGCAGCTGCACTGAAAGGTCACACTGTACACATGCGTGAATGTTGTGTGCGTACAAACCGAAGATCCTCTATGTGTGGAAATATGACTCACTACGTGGTTTACAAATAATAATTAAATTCATTTGAAATCTTTCTCACTTATTTATGGTCAGAGGTGGAAGAAGTACTCAGATCTTGTACTAACAAGTAAATGTCGTGCATTCAAAAGTGTTACTCAAATAAAAGTGTGGGCATCAAAATATACATACACTACCAAAAGTAGTGGTCCATTTCAGAATAATATATTGTATATGTTTTGAATCATAATATTATAATGGATGCGTTAATATGTTAATCAAAGCGTATAAAGGTGTTTAATTACTTTGTTTACTGCAGGTTAGCTTGTGAATTTACTCCAGGTGTAACTAAAGTCTGATTTAAGTGTTGATTATATTTCACAAGATTAATTCTAATCTGCAAAGTAAATAAAGGTATTTAATTACATTACATTATTACATGTTACTTGTTAGATGCTTTTATCCAAAGCGACTTACATACTCAATACTGTGGGCAATCCCCACAGGAGCAATTTGGGGTGAAGTTTCTTGCCCAGGGACACAACCACATGCTGACTGCAGTGGGGTTTGAACATGTGCTCCCCTGATCCGAACACCAACGCCACACGCCGCCCATTTTAATAAGTGTTGTAGAGTAAAAGTACACATTTTACCTCTGACATGTGGAGTAAGAGTACAGCAAAAAATGTAAATAATACCGTAAAGACAAGTCCATCAAAAGTGTACTTTAAGTACAGTACTTGAGTAAATTTGGCTCCTTGCCAGCACTGTTTTTGTTGAACTATTTTATCTATAGTCTGTACCAATATTGAAAATTAATAATTGGAGTTGAGGGTTATCTGTATCAAATATTCTCCATTCTCTACTCTGTTCAGTGCTGGAGATATGGAAAATGAATGCTACTTATGTTGTACTTTTTACATGTGTAAGCATTTATCATACTGTATATAATATATATTTTGTGTTTAAAGTTTATATTCTGTATAACATAACTACAAGACAATATATACACTTTTTTGTTTAGAAAAAGCCATTCAGAATCATTTTTCATTTTTCATTCAGATAGTAGGCCTACCTAGTTTTAGTAGTTGTTCAGTATTATTTTTTCTGCAACACATTAGGTAACAGTTTTTTCAAAGGGATTGCTGGATTTTTGTGTTGTGGTCACTGGCCACTGTTTAAGTGGCCAGTGACCACAACACAAAAATAGAAATACCAGAAATACAATATGTCACCTGCAGTGTATGTTTTGACCAGACATCCTCTGGTTTACTAATGCTTTTGTTACAAGAAAAATTAGCTGATCAAATTTGATTCGAAGCCAATATGTCTTGTACCTTTTGTATTTGTGTTCATCAAGCCAAATATCAGGATCAATTGTCACGTTCTCTATCTAGGTAAGTCCACAGACACTGGGCTAACACAGTTAGTCTAAACTAAATAGTTAAAGATTGTGTTGTAGCGGCTCTGTATATAACAAAGTAAATAAACTTTGTCATAAACAAAAGTATAACAAATAAAGATCAACGGTTGTATTTTTGTACTTTGTACGTTTTTAAAGTGTTGTATTTTTGTTTTAAAAGCCAGAAAGATTGTCCAAAAAGCCATGTGTTGCCCACAAATGAAGACTGTGGATCAACAAATGTGGAACCAGGAATACGAGTCAGAGTGAGACGTCTTTAATGTGGCCCTCCTCTCAGCTACTGATCAGGCGAGGAGGCGTATAAAAGCCAATCAGAGACGCTGGTGCAAACGTAACCTCTGCATCGCGTTGTGTGATCAGGGTGCAATAAAAATAATCACAACTATTATTGGTGCACTTCTGTTTGACACCTTTTATTCTTAAATAATATGACACTATTGAAATTAAAACGTTCAAACAGTTTCTTTTTTAATTTGTTTATTATGTTTACATTGTCTTCCTTCCGACATGACACATGACATCCCTGTTTAATATCATTGAAGGTTTGACAAGTATGAAACATTTAACATATTTTTCCTTTGAAAGTAGCTGCCATCACAAGTGAACTACACATCCCGGAGTGCTACTCGTAACCCCTCCGTTCCGTGAGATTTTGGCGCTGAGCTGCAGTAGGGACCGACCACCAGGCCTGGACTAAAAAAATGAAAGCAGTGTGATTTTGTTAAACCAAAGGAAGAGGGAGCTAGAGATGATAATTAATATCATACCATTTAGAAGAAGACTGCACAGTGGAGGGGGAGAGAATTAAACATATCTACGTGAAGCAGTGTCTCTACTAAATGCTCCTACATTGAGGAAGAAGAGCCAGGCTTTGGGATTGGGCAGCGACCAGATAGCGTAACAACCCCTCCTCCTCTCTGTAGAGAATTGCGTTAAAACGAAAACGAAAAGGCCTGCGCTTTATCTAAATTACAGGCTTTTTTCCCTTTTACTCCATATATATTAAACGAGGACCCGTTGCTGGCTGGTGTATGTGTTTAGAATGGGACTCGCTGAAGGTATTGATATTTCTTTTTAAATTATATTATTCTCCTGCATCCCTCGACTCGGCATCAAAATCTGTGCTGCTCATTTGCTCTACTCTTTAGCGACATGTTTGCCATATTGTGGTTGTCCCCCCACACTCTCTTGCAATGATTTTGAGGGTCGCAGCTATATTATTTTCAGGCACATTTATCTCCAAACCGACAGTTATGGAGGTATAATCACGCCAGACAATATGATTTAAAGGGGCAAAGGCAGCCATATTGGCAATGGAGCGTTAGCTTAGCCACCATTAGCTTCTCCTTTCATCTTCTTCCATGTGTTTAGAACATTAACGGATAACAAATAACGAATGGGGACGGTTAGTCGTGTGTGCACAATGACAACCGGTCGTGTCCCCCGGTTTCGTCTTTTTTTTCTCTCGGTTAAAATGGTCCACATCTTTTTGTTAACACAATCCCTTAGCTTTTGATGGCAGGTAGCTTCAGGCTAACATCGCAGAAAGCTATAAGATCATTCAGTGAAACATGTTTTGTCTGCGCAGTCTTTTTGAAGCAGGTATGGTTACCACTTCACACATGAACCCTAAAATAATAACACAAGTCGTTATAGACAGCTAGTGACTTTTAGTTGACACCTTTTTATGGGTGTTTACATCACCGTTATCCACCTTTGCCACCGCTGGGCTGAGTGATCACACATTAAAGCACAATCAGTGGATTAATTCATTCAGTCTGCAAGCTCCAACCGTTTTAACCTGATTACAAAAGCCATAATATGTTAAGAGTGTCCAGTGTAGATATTATTGTAAGATATTGAAGCAGGCACTGGTAGCTGTTCTTTGTTTTGTTTGGGATAGCAGGCCACCATGTATTTGTGTTGATTAAATAAAAACACTCATAAAGGTTAATTAATTAGCTTGGAACAGATTCACTTCACAGGTGATTGGTTATTGGCTATAGAAGAGGAACATGTCTTTATCGTTAATACGAGCTGCTTGGAATTTGTTTTGTATTTTGTTGATGGCCTAAGTTTAACATGATTGATTGTGATTCTCATATGAGGGATTTGTCCACTTTTTAGAAAGAGATTACATTCACCCTTTATTTAACCAGGTAAAGTGATTGAGTTTTAAAGCTTTTTTTTTTAAAGGGCTAAGAAAGCAGTCTAAAACAGTTTTACAACAATAAACACAAACAAGACCAAGAGACAAAACAACTTTCTCACACTACAAATGAGTAAGCACATCCAATCCAGTAACAAAAAACAGTTTTAATGCATAAAAGGTATAACTTCTAATGTGAATTCAGTGAAAAATTCAAGAGCAAGCAATGATCAACATTGCTAATTTCTCAATCATTAACATTTTGGCCTTTGTATATTCGGCTCTGATAGTTTCAGTTCTTCTGTACATTTTCCAGGAAGATGTGGCACTGTATATAAAGGCTTGTTTGCCTAGTTTTGTTCTTACCTTGGTGACCAAAACCACGTGTTGTCTACTAACATTCAGACACCCCTGAGAGTTTATTTGGCTCCTACTTTAGATAAATAGTTAGAGCTCTGAAATGGTCAAACTTTCAAAAGTCCCCAGTCCCCTGGATGCCACACATGCATATTTGGTCGTAAATAAGTACCATGTTATAGTGTTACATTATTTGGAAAAGTTTGGCTCCTATCAGATTATGTAACAGTTTAGATTCAGACAGGGAATATTAATAATGTCACGCAGCAAAGGTCCTTGGCCGGAAGCAAACCGGGGATGTTGCATGTATTTGTTGTGCACACACATTTTTTAAACACACTGGGCCTGCAGTTTCATCTTATATCAAGGCACTGTCTTAGTTTTATATTCTCCCTTTTTATTTATCTGATCATACTATGCCTAAATGACACATTCCGAAATACATTTATGTTTAATTTAATTACTTAAAACCCACTGACCCAGAGCAAATCAGGGTCAGCCGTAGGATCCCTGTCCATACAGAGTGCAGAGAGCAGATTTGATGTAGTAATGTCAAGCTGGTGCTTAATGTTATACATTAGGGTTTAGGGAAATCCTTTGAAAGTTTATCAAAATGAAAGGAAAAATTAAAACCTTGTAAGTTAATAAAAATAGGGTTCTTGATTTTATAAATATTGTGCAATAATAGAAATGTAAGTTGCTTAGCTCTTCAATTAGTAAAATAGTCTCTCTTGCTATCTCTCACCTTGCACATTATATTGTTTTGATGTGTTACAGAAGGCAAGGGAGCACACAGTCGGCCGTCACTGTAACACACCAGCAGCCTCTCTTTTTAATTGTTGCGTGTGAGCTTCTGTTCAGCCTGCTAGTTCTCATTATAAAAACTCTCAGTGTCACAAACGGTAACCTTGATCAGTGTCTCAAACGATGCCTTGCTGGGTTCTTGAAAGTAATGTGTGGGTGTGGGAACCCTGTGGTAAACAGTAATGATTTAATGATAGTCTACCTTTGTCCGGTTTGCTTCACACCTGTATGATTTCTATCTGTCAACAGGTCCAGTCAAAGAAAAAGACAGTTAAGGATGCAGGAGCCCAACAATGGATTTCTCCTTCTCTTTCATGCAAGGGATCATGGGAAATACAATTCAGCAACCCCCTCAGCTCATTGACTCCGCCAACATCAGACAGGAAGGCACCTGCGACACCGGCAGTGATCCAGGCGAGGATGGTGGTCCCTCCTACGATGCTGCCCTTGATGCAGAGTTCTCCTACCCGCCGTCCGCCTCGGAGGACATGTCGCAGGTCTCCAACGGCTACCCCCCCGGTCTGGGCATGTACGAGCCGCAGTCCAAGTTCTCCATGTACTCGCAGTTCCCCAACGGCTCGGCTAATGGCTACGGGGCCATACGGAGCTACGCAGACCACGGTCTCCTGCCGGGGGAGGGGACGGTCCTGAGAGGCCCAGGTCTTCAGGAACGACCTTTGTCTCCTGTGTCCCCCCCTCTGCCCACACATCACCCACACCTCCATCATCACCACCACCACCATACCCCTCATCTCCAGCACCACGCTCACCTCTTTCACTCGAACCCGCCTCTTTTACAGAACCACCCCCACCCACAGAGTCCCCCGCCGCCCCCTCTGCCCTCCCAGCACCACATGCCCCATACGCCTCACATCATGACCCACACTCTCCCACCTCCTCCCCCATTAATCCTGCCTTCCTCCAGTCCGCCCCCCTCCCTTGTGGACAGTACCCCTTCTTCTCAGCCCTCCCTCATCCTGTCCAACACTCCTGGGGGCGTGCTGAAGAAGACCAGCTCTCCAGAGATCAAGCTGAAGATCATTAAGACGTATCAGAATGGGAAAGAGCTGTTTGAGTCTGCGCTGTGTGGAGACCTGCTGCAAGAGCTGCAGGTAATGTGTGCACCTCACAGCTCGAATCATCAAAGGTCTCACAACTAACCGCGATCAACATCATGAGCAAAAGCATGACATTTAGAGCATAAACCATCAAATAAGTAGAGAGAATAAGCTCTGCTATCCTTCTGCGGCGCCTATTGAGCATTTTTGCATTTTGCATTTTGTAGCATATATAATAACCCTGTTCATAGATAACTTCTTACAAGATACGTTCATTTATCAATCTGAAATTGCAATACAATTCCCAAACCTTGGACAGATGGACAATTTGTGCTAAAAGTACCTAGTATTTCAATTATTAAACAAATACTTTGTCATCTTCTCAAGTCCGAGGTAAATATTAAAATGTCTCTCTTTGTCAAAATAGTTATTTACTAAAATATATTAAGCTTACTCTTGTACAATAAAATGCACACATTTTAGAGGCTGGCACCAGCTTCATAGATTATTTATTTCAGCTCATTCAAAAAACAGCAACCACAGAAGAATAATTTCACATAATAAATACAATTATAATCTGGCTCAATGAAATTCAAATGGAATTGTTACAGTGTTTGTTTTTTGGTTTACTTTTAATTCTCTTAAGAACTGGATATCGGAGGTGGTTTTGATTTCAGAAGACAGATGGATCCAGCTTTGAGTTACCGTTTATGTAGAAAAACAAAAATGTACTTGATTTCTTACTACTGTTTTTGTTTCTTCTATCTTCACTTCAGAATGAGTCTCAGAAGAGCGAGGCCACTCAGATGCAGCGCAGACATGAGAGGAAGAAGGAGAAGAGGAAAAAGAGTGCGCGGCTGCAGCTGCTGGTCCAGGATCAGGAACAGAACCTGGAACAGAGCCAAGCACAGTCAGGTCCCACAGAGCAGACGGAGGACATCCACATGGAGCCCCCGCCCACAGAAACACCCCCAGCCCAGACACAGAAGCCTCAGAAGACCGTCATCAAAACTGAACCAAAGATGCCCAAGGCAAGAGCATGACTGTTTGCTCTCCACAGCAGTGTGAATGCTTTGAACACCAATTACTGTAGATTGTAGAATATTTTAGACATTTTAAAGCACATCACTGACTTGTTCATGTTTCTCTTTAGGTTCCGAAGGTCCATCATCCATCAGTTATCCAAGAGACGGGCTTCTGTAAGGAGTTTGTGATCGGAGATCTGGTGTGGTCCAAGGTGGGCACCTACCCTTGGTGGCCCTGCATGATCTCCTCTGACCCGCAGATGAAGGTCCACACCCGTATCAACACCAGAGGTACAGACCGGTTTTTCTTTCACAAGTGTTTGAATGCGTGAGGACAAAAGCCACAACCTGTTTCCCTCGCTCTGTTTGTGTGCAGGTCACAGAGAGTATCACGTCCAGTTCTTTGGCAGTGTCGCTGAGCGAGCATGGATCCATGAGAAGAGGATAGTCCTGTACCAGGGGAAGAAACAGTATGAAGACCTTCAGGCTGACACTCTGCGAAAAGCCACAAATCCTGTAGAGAAACACAAAGTACTAGCAGCTCTTTATCGTTTTGGTATTACAGTCACAGAAAACCCTATCTACTGTATAATTGAATTTAATAATTCACTTTTATTTATATTACACCATCAAAATGATTATAATTAATATATTCATCGAACAGCAATTTTGTTGTACAACAATTTGAAGATCCCTTTTCCGAACCACCATTTCCATTCCTATGAGTCGCCGCCACCACTTGCATATTTTATATCATAAGGTTAATGAAATGAAGCAATTCAATTCATCACATTTAATAAAAAAGTGCCAAGTAAATAATGGCACTGTTTCAGAATTATCCCACGTATGTTTGTAGAATGTTAACACATTAATTATTCAAGCATATTTGAATGAGGAAAATATTGTTAATAAGGCCATCATGTGTAAATTAAAAGAATAAAATGCATCCAGAAATGCATACACATAATGTAAAATAAAGGTTTCTGTACAGCGGTATAAGATGTGAAAAAATAGTAGTTTTAACAATGTTGTTTCTTCTTGATGTTTCCTTCTCCAGCTTCTGAAGCCCATCCCTCAGCGGGAGCGTTCTCAGTGGGAGGTGGGTGTGGGCCACGCCGAGGATGCCCTCCTGATGTCGCGGCAGGAGCGAACTGACAACTACACCTTCATCTATGTTGACCCAGATCCTCATGAAGGCACGTCCAGCAGGAAACCCACCTACAGAGCTGAGAAACGAAACCGGCGCTCCAGCGGTTCAATCAGTAAGAAGGAAGAGGGAGCGGTAAAGTCACCAGAAAGAGAGCAGCCGACTCGACGGCTGCTGCCACGCAGACAGTGTAGTGTTTCAAACACAGAAGACCACACAAAATCCCCGGCCTCAAATGAGGAGAAGAACCAGAGGGACGACCAGCGTAAGAGCAGCTCCCCGAAGCAGAACGATGAGCGGCAGGAGTCGCCGCCACCAGTGAGGGCCTGGAAAACAGCCGCTGCCAGGAAGCTGCTGCCTCTCTCCATCACCATGAAGAGGCTGAACGTGGAGATCACAAAGTGCGATTGGCCTCTCCTGCAGAAAAAAGCAGCTCCATCTCCCAAAAAAGAGCAAGTCGTCATCGTCGAAGAAGAAGAAGAAGAAGAGGAGGAAGAGGAGGAAGAAGAAGAAGAAGAGGAAGACGAAGAAGAAGAAGAAGAGAAGGAGGAGATAGTGGAGGGAGAGGCCCGGCAGCCTGACCTGGGTTACTGCTCACCGGAGGTTGGTGTTTGTCATGCAGATAGGAACATTTCATCCTGAGGTGTCCTGTAAGCAAATGAATCATTTTGATGCATTCAACAGGACAGCAGAGCTAAACCTGAGCCCAGTCCGGAGGAGGAGGAAGAAGGGGACGAAGGGGAGGAGGAGGGGGAGGAGGAGAGGAGAGAATCCCCCGCCAGTCGGAGGAGTGAGGAGGGAGGAACGCAGCAGACCTCCTCTCCTGGATCACACCACAGCAGTCCACATGGTGGGTAAAACACAGACGTGCAGTGTGTGTGTTTTTTTGCACTTTGTAAAGTCAGTAACAGATACAGCTCAATACCTTCATGGATTTTCAGGTTCTCAGGAGCGGAAGCTGCAGCGGCGGTCGGTCAGAAGCAGGTCCGAGTCGGAGAGATCCAACGATCCCGTCCCCAAGAAGAAAACCAAAAAAGAGCAGGTAAAGGCTCTCCTCAGATGACCTAGTGTTCAGACTAAAAACAGCTCTCCATTATAAAAACACAAGGGGATGTGGCTATTAGTTAAAGTACATTTTTCATAAGCAATATATTTTATTATGTCAATGCCCATTTCTGTTTTGAATAAAATGATTTGAATGTACATTCACAGATATATAATAAACAGATTATATCGAAGATATAGGGTTTTGAGATTGAAACACTATTAAATATTTAAGAATAGAAAATCGGAACATGACTCAGATAAGTCAAACTGATTTATACCTTGTTTAAAGAGTTTATTTTCTATATAGAATCATTTGTTTTTTTACAATACTGTTGAGTCAGCACCACACTAACCTGCACTTCTTGTCTCAGGCTGAGATGGCTCCTGAGGCGACACTGAGGACAGGTTCACAGAAAGGTAAGGAATCCTTCCTTCATGCTTCCTGCATAACCTCTGTGGTTGGAACTCTTTTTACTTTATAAAACCTTTTTTTATTGCTCATCTTTATGAATTTCTTAGGAGCCAGTGAGATCTCAGACGCCTGCAAACCTCTGAAAAAGCGAAGCAGAGCGTCGACAGATGTGGAGATGACTTCTTCTCAGTACAGAGACACGTCTGACTCTGACTCCAGAGGCCTCAACGACCCACAGGTAGGCCTAGAAATCAAGAAGACAATACTGTCTTTCTCTTGATAATTTGTGCATTTTCATCAATGTAACTTTTTTATAGTCATCACAACCAAGCAGACCCGGCGCCGTGGGAGGGCCAGGCATTTATTATTTTAATTATAAACTGTGAACTTTAATGCTACGATGTATGTGATGTCAGATAGTAATATAAGAGTAATAAATGAAAAACAGTTATGAAATACTATATGACAGTAAAACAAGAATACTGTTTGAAAGGGAGTGATTTGTAAAATATCCATAAAATATCCATAAAGAAAAAGAACATCTGTTTACAGTTCTGTTTCATATGGGTGTTGAGAGATGTATCCATAGATCTCTTCATGTTGCTCTCAAAGTGCACCAGATTGATGCTTTTAACTTCAATATTTTAAAAAAATCTTCACGGGGGAGCATGCCCCCGGACCCCCCTAGAGAAGGTTAGGTCCACCCCCAACTTAAAAAATAATGGCACTTTAGTGTGCCTTGGCAGTATGTGCCGTGAGCTGATTATCGAGCCTTCATTGTAACAGTCGCGGGTACACTGTGTGTGTGCGTGTGGGGATTGTTGCAGTAGAACATTCCACGGTACCTTAATGGGAAACCCTACATTATATTATATTACATGTTACTTGTTAGACGCTTTTATCCAAAGTGACTTACATACTCAATACTGTGGGCAATCCCCACAGGAGCAATTTGGGGTGAAGTGTCTTGCCCAGGGACACAACGACATGCTGACTGCAGAGGGGTTTGAACCTGTGACTTTTTCAAATGAAAAAATTGGTGTTCCCCGCTATTAAAATGTGAATATTTTCTGGTTTACTTACTATTCTGTACTATAGGTAGGAAAAAGGACAGTTAAAAACATTGGCATGGCCTCTGATTGCTGTTTTCTCGCCTTTCAGGGTTTATTTGGGAAAAGTCTTGACAGTCCAGCAGCAGCCGATGCAGACGCCTCAGACACTCAGTCTGTGGACTCCGGCTTGTCCCGCCAGGACAGCAGCACCGGCAAGAGAGACACCGTCTGCCAGGTCAGCACGTCACTCATCTGGTGTTCTCTCTAAAATCCTACAGGTGTTCAGTTATAGAATTCATCTTTTTTTTTCGTGTGTGTGTAGATCTGCGAGGTGTACGGAGAGGGTTTGGTGGTGTGTGAAGGGGACTGTGGCCGACAGTTTCACCTGGACTGTCTCGGTCTGACGTCCCTACCTGAAGGCAGGTTCACCTGCTTGGAATGCAGAAATGGTGAGCGAACAGAATAATATGCACTGTGTCAGATCTGCTGTGTTTTGCTCTGTGCTAACACCCTCTCACTCTTTTTCTAGGCAATCATTCTTGTTTTAGCTGTAAAGCGGCGGGCCAGGAGGTGACGCGCTGCTCCGTGTCTGGCTGTGGTTGTTATTACCACGAGGATTGTGTGCGTAAACTCCCGGGCACCACCATCAGCTCGGAAGGGGGCTTCTGCTGCCCTCAGCACAGCTGCTCTACCTGCTGCTTGGAGAGAGACCTCCAGCGGGCGAGTAAAGGTAAACAATGTCTGATTTCCTGTTTGAGTCTGCAGTGGAGTGTGAAGAAAATGACTAACAAATCGACATTTCCCATTACACGTTAGGCCACTTAGCTGATGTTTTTTAATAAAAGCAATAGGAAAAAAGCTAAAATAATGAGTGCAATGGTCAAGGCTTTACTTCCCTTTTATATGTGAGGGAGAAGTGCAAAATAAATAAATTGTGAAAGAGATGATTTTGAGAATGACGTGCCATAAAAGGGCTACTAAGTCCTGCACTGCATGTCCTGAAGAATATTTGGTGACAGTCCTGCTACAAACAACTGGTAAACATAAATTGCTCCATTTAGTTTGAGGCGAGAGGCATCTGGAGACTGAAGACAATTTGAGAAAAAAAGTAATTGTCGTGTTCCTTGAAATGTCTTTAGATTATTGTGCCTTGTCTTGCTGGTAATGTTTGAAAAAGGGAAGTGATGCACTTTGTTTGCAACAGAGTTCCGGTATATTATGGCTTAAAACAACCCTAAAACGGGGAGATGCCGAAATGTTACTAGAGAAATAAATGTGTCACACTCTGACACCATCAACTAAATGCTTTACTTTTGGCAAAAGGCAGCGTTGATGTTGTTATACTGACTGAACTATTACTTGAACTAACTACCTACGGATAATATATATGCGTATTTGCATCGTGATAAAGATAAACTAACTTGTAATTCAATCATTCAGAATATATCTAACCAAACTGTTTGGCCTTGTGACCCCTTATAAAATATATATGTTTATGTGTTGCCCCTTGTCCCATTTTAGATGTGAGATACACTAAAGAGGTTAGTGTAAGTGTTTAGGCCAACAAACATGTCAAATATTTCACAAAAAAATACTTGAGGTAAAAGAGTCCAATGATAAATATGTATTTGTGAATCTAGTGTTATCTTCTGTTGGGCCCCATTGGTCATCTCCCACCCCTTATAGATTTATCTTGTGACCTTTAGGACCCCTCGATAGGGAACCATTGTGCAAAACAATTGCACAATGTTGACCCATGTTATTCATTTTTAATGTAGAATGAAACAAGAAGATAAAAAAACTATATTTAAACCACTTGAATGTCTTGGGCAACAAAAAAGTATAACCTTTTCTTCTGGTTTCCTTAGATAACAGCTTGAAAAATAAAGAATCAGTCCTCCATTATTAAAACTCTGCAGTGACGGGATTGAATCTCTTCACAGATCTGTGCGTGCTGCACAGTTTCACAGCTACGTGACTAATGTGACGCAGGGACAGGGTCAAAATAACTTTCCATTGGCGTGTGCAGACTTGGAGACAAGAAGCTGAACAAATGTCCCCGTCCTCTGCCTCCTTTCCAGGTCGTCTGATGCGCTGTATCCGCTGTCCGGTTGCCTATCACACGGGAGACGGCTGCGTGGCGGCAGGCAGCGTCGCCCTCACCCATCACATCATGATCTGCAGCAGCCACGGCAGCACCAAGAAGAACGGCCTCCTCTCGTCCCCTATCAACGTGGGTTGGTGCTTCCTGTGTGCCAGAGGTAAGCTCTCACTACCTCACACACTAACGGTGTTGCTCTCCTAGCAGTGGCCCTAACAAATGTTGAAGTTCTAAAATCGATAGTTTTTAGGTGTGGTTTGATGATGTACTTATCCATAGTGAGTGTATTACCTACAGTAGATGACCAGTTTCTGGAAGCAGACAGAAGTTACGGCACAAAAGGTAATCACCGTTCTGCTTTGAAAGCGGGCTGCAGCAAAACATATTTTAGAGATTTATAGAAAGGCGTTCAAATAACTAAAGCCGTTATCTATTCCCTCTTTCAAGCCACCAGACACCATTAACAAAAACCTTTTTTTTACCTCACAGAAAAACAAAAAAGTAAAATCTACCATTGTGTTAATCGGTTAGATTGTTTGTGTTACACCAAGGTCACCGATAACACAAACTAACTAACGGATCGAGGTAGAACAGCAACTCCTGTGGCCTTTAAGGTCAAATAACTGTTTGCGTCAATGGAGTCTGGTGTCTTCAGAGAGAGAATAACTTGGGGTCAGCGGACTGTCATCTACTGCAGACTGACTATACATAAGCACATCATGAACCCAACTTCAACAACATCTAAATGATCCTTTTAATCTCACCACTCTCTTCTTGCTTGCACTTCACATTGGAGCAACAACAGGACCTGATCAACCTTAATGTTGTTTTTTCAACCTTTTTGAAGGAATTTTACCTTCTTTTCTTATAAAATCAGATCTATCTTTTTAGTATGACATGTTGGCATAGTTGTTTATGAACAACAGAGAAATTAAATGTAACATTTGTTTTCCATCACAATACTAATACTATGAATGAGCCAGGCTTAACACTGCACTCAATTGAAAGCTGTCCCTTTAGTCCTTGATGGTGATGAGGATTTCCATTTTTTTTTAAATGACTTTCGACCAAAATAGAGGTGATGTTTTGCCTGTGGGACAATACGTTGAGTGCACTGTTTGGCCTCTTTGTGTCAGGACAGACTTTGTTTTACTTGTTTCTTCTGTGTGTGTGTGTGTGTGTGTGTGTGTGACTGTGAGTGTTTGTTCTTTCTCTTTTTGTGTGAATTTTGGGTAATTTGGAGTTTGACTGCGGCTCACCCCCGTCTCTTCCTGTGTGTCTTGTGTAGGGCTGTTAGTGCAAGACCTTACTGACACCATATTAAGTTCATATGCCTATAAGTCCCACTACCTTCTGACTGAGTCAAATCGTGCTGAGTTGAAATTACCTATGATTCCCTCTCCTTCGTCAGCTACCAAAAAGAATGTTGGGAAAGGTAACTGAACAGTTTTTCTCTTCCTCCTTTTCCCCCTGGTCTGTGTTTGTGTTGTGCCTGCTCCCCTTTGTGTACGCATCATTCATTTCAAAGCCTTGAGGTGCCAAGAGAATTAACTGGTAAATATGCAGTTAATTGAATGAGGTGGCGCAAAGTAACCTCAGCCAAGTTCCCTAACACATTAACAGATAACAGTGGGCATCATGCAAGAACACTTTTATATTCCTCCTCAAAACCTCTCATTTCAGGACACACCAAAATAGGAATTGTTAATGTCATTAGTTATTCTTTTAATGTTATTAACAACTGAGTTTTATCAACTCACCAAAACCTCTACGTTCCTTTCATTGATTTTCTTGAAAAACTAATGTGAAAACTCATTAAATGTATGCAATCTTGCAAAGGAAGTTTGTGTATTCTAGGCCTCATGATTTCGCCCCCCTAAAAACCACATTAATAGAGAGATGTGTTTAAAAATACATTATATATATTTAAATAAAATTATATATATGTATTTTTTCTTATTAATTTCCCCGAGAGGGATTATTTTAATTTCCATGAAATTATGGGAAATAGAACAGTATTGGTATGCAGATATATACATTTTCTTTTTTATTACTACGTGGTTAGATGAGGTGATGTTGCCAGTTTAAAAAAAAATTGAACATAATTGTAATAATATCGTAAAATATAAATAGACCATTTTATTTATTCACCGATAGATATATTTAGTTGATTTCAAAGTCATATTAAAACTCCACATTCATTTAGATTAAGAATATGTTATTGTTATCATGATTTTAAAGATAAGTCATTATTTCCTCTTGGGGAGAAAGATTGACTATCAGAGCATGACTTTACAACACACTGTGAATTTCGTTCGTACGCTAGAAGGAAACCTGTGAATGCAATAAGTTCTCTAACATGACTTGAAGGTGCCGCTGAAGAACAAATCTGTTCCGTATATGTGGTTCTTGCACGAGGCCCATTGTGAGATTTGTTTATGCTTTGCATTAACAGTCAATCTGGGTTTGTATATCTCTTCAATTAACAAGATAAATCAAAAGTCCTTTTAAGTCTTCAATGGGGACAATGTCTCTGCTGGGAATATATGATTGGCTGTCAAACCTCCAGCACTTAAACTACACGAATGAAGGATGCTGGAAGCTCTGGATTAGCTCAGTTAGCTCTGCCTGCGGTTAGTGAGCTTCTCGCTGCTGGGGGTGCACTGCTCTGCTTCAGCACTCTGGGCTTGTTTTTGATTTGAAAGCCTCACATCTTTCTATGCTGACTGCAATAAGTTTTATTTTTGACTGAAATATTCAGATGAAATGAAATGTTGCTCACCTCATTTCTTTAAGCTTTGACCGGCCTTTGATGGAATATTATCTCAATCGGGACTAGATTTGATTTCAATTATTAAAGATGAGTGCAATAGTTAAATGAACACCTTTTTTAAAACTTGTGAAAATATAATAAATTAAAATATAAAAAAAACATGATTCCATGCAAGCTGGTCTGTGCAGGATGTGATGTGTGTCATGGGGAAAGTTTGCTTTACTGGCAGGACTGCATGCCTGCTTTTTGCCAATAATTCTGTTGTTTGAGTTTAACCCTGATTCATGTTAACTTGCTGGCTGATTTGACTCCTGTGCTGATGCATGTATTTCCCATAGACTGCTCTTGGTACAGTACTCTGAATCTGATTTCCAGACATGCTGTAATTGTTGCAATGAAAGGTGTAACGGACTGAGACTCCTTGCAGGGTTCAGTCTTTACCATGGAGCACAGCTCTCTTAGGAGCCTCCACTCAAGCAGGCTCCTAAAACCTGGCCTTGTTTTCAGAAAATCACCCAGATGCTAAGATTGTAGCTTTAGGTAAAACACTTTTCCCTACAATGGCACTATTTTAACACTAGATGTTGGAGAACCATTACCTTTTCAGCTTCTTTACTTTTAGTAGGCCTGTCTGCAAATTAGATTCAGAGTTTGTCCAGGTTTAAAGGTGCATCACCTAATCATACACTCCTCCTCTCTTTGCATACCCATTTCCCACCATGCATGCATATACACACACACATACACTCAAAACACACATTTACACACACACATTCACGCACATACACGTTTACATCCATACAAATGTAGGAGGCAAGTTGCTGTGCTGCGACACATGCCCGGCTTCCTTCCACCCGGAGTGTCTGGAGATGGAGACGCCGGAGGGGGCGTGGTCCTGCAGTGATTGCAGGGCGGGGAAGAAGCCTCACTACAAACAGATTGTCTGGGTCAAACTGGGCAACTACAGGTACGCAGGAGCACTGGGGACGGACTGCTGAGGGTGGTGAAACTGTCAGTTTATGGTACAGTGAAATGTAAAGGATAAGTTGGTGAAATGCTATATTTTACTTCTAATCAAATGAAAGTACAAAATAACAATCACAGATGTTTTCTTTAGTAGCAACAAATGTGCTTTGGTGTGAGAACCATGAACAGTATAGGGACAGATTAGCTAGTTACAGCATTTAAAAATATGTACAACAATATGTAACATCCATTCAGGGTATACACATAACAATTATATATTTGATATAATATAGAATGTATGGTATTATGAATCATTGCTTTATTTAAAAAAATTTTTTTAATATCAGTATTGCCTTCACATTATTTTTGGTTTATTTGTTATTGTTTTTTTAAACATTAATTTTCTTTATATTTATTATCAATTACTATCTCTACGTGTATAGAATATCTACCCAAATACACTCAATCAAAAATAGCGTACTAATTGGTGATCCATGTATTTGATGTTATAGATGAAAGGAAAAAAATAAGGAAATACTGTGGTGGTGTTTTCCTGTCGCACACTACATGTTCAGCTCTGCTCAATAGTTAGATTATTCTCTGCTGGCATGGTATTACATTACAATGTGGTAATGGGAAACAAATAATGCATGTGCCAAAAAAACACATTTTTACCAGCCATGAGTGTAGATCTTATAGGTCAGAGATCTGTGACTTTGCAGGAGCTAGTGAAAGTTTTTTGTTTTTGTAAGTTCTTAAGTTGCATTAGGTTTTTTAAAAGTGTAATGCTTACGTCAGGCTATAATAACTTTTAAATGGGCTTGTATGATTAGTTTTTTTTACCACACTTAGACACTAGTCTTACTTTTCACTGCCTCATTTTCCTTGCAGGTGGTGGCCCGCGGAGATTTGCAACCCTCGCCTGGTGCCATCAAACATTCAGAGCCTGCGTCACGATGTTGGAGACTTCCCCGTCTTCTTCTTTGGCTCCCACGACTACTACTGGATCAACCAGGGCCGCGTCTTCCCCTACGTGGAGAATGACAAGAACTTTGTCACGGGTCAGATCAACATCAACAAAACCTTCAAGAAAGGTAATTTCTTCCTCAGTGTTTTTGTTCTTTATGACAAATCAGTTGTGAGTGCATATTTCTAAAGATGCAGGGAGGATGAGTCTCTTAGATGTTGTCGCTGTGTGTTTTAGCTCTGGAAGAAGCTGCCCGGCGGTTCCAGGAGCTAAAGGCCCAGAGGGAGAGCAAGGAGGCTCTAGAGCAGGAACGCAACTCTCGCAAACCTCCCCCCTACAAACTCATCAAGGTATCCCACTTTGAAGAGAAACAAAAAAAGTTATTTTGAATTAATCTTCAGTGTCGTAACTGATTCTACCGTTGATTTCTTGCATCAGTCCAACAAACCAGTGGGGAAAGTGCAGGTGCACGTAGCTGATTTGTCAGAAATCCAACGATGCAACTGCAGACCGACAGACGAGCATCCGTGCAGCCTCCACTCTCAGTGTCTCAACCGCATGTTGCAGTACGAGTGTCATCCACAGGTCTGTGTGCATACTCGTTTTACAGTTCTTGAACAATATAACCAGCCATGAGTAATTGCATCTCAACTTTTTACCTTTTTTCTTCATGTTGTTTTTGTTGTTGTTGCTAGGTGTGTCCTGCAGGTGAGAGCTGTGAGAACCAGTGTTTCTCCAAGCGGCTGTACGCAGAGACGGAGGTGATACAGACGGACGGCCGCGGCTGGGGCCTCAGCACCAACCAGGCTCTCAGGAAGGTCGGTGTTGAGCTCAATCATTTCACCAAAAACAGCATAAACATGTCCTGTAACAGCTTGACTATCAAGCTCTGAGGCCTGTACTACGAAGCCGGATTTTCGCTTAGCGAGCTAACTTCAGGGAAAACTCTGGGTTTCTCTTCTTACCGGGCTTGATCTCCATGGTAACTTATGCTCCGGAGAAGGTTAGTTTGCAGGCTAAGAGATCAACTCTGTGAAAGCACCGCCTGCTGACCAATCAGAGCTCAGTGTGCTGAGTTTAAAGCGATCAAGTCACATTACAGGAGAAAGGAAATACAGAAAAACTGCCATTGCAGGAAAGACGGCCGGCAAAAATCAACTGAAAATTAATAGAATATCACCTCCCATGTTCAGAGCAATCTGGCTATTATAACTGGCTATTATAACATTAGCGTTAAGAAAACTTACTTAAATATCTGCCACAAGTTAACATAAGTAACCGGCTCAAAGTAGCATTACGTACAGTCCGCAGCACTGTGAGTGCAGACGTCAATATTCCCCATTGATATCATATCACATCATAATGTATCATATTTCCTTATCTGAGTCAGCTGAGCCGTATCTGGCCGTGCAACACTCACAGTGTCACATACTGTATGCAGAAGTATTATTTTAAGCACCACATTAAGTTGACGAAACACTCGAGTCAAATGTAATTAAAGTCAGATCCACTCGTGTCTTGGAAGGGGCAGTGATATCATAAACCTGTTAATGTACGCATTCAAACACTTTTTCTTTTACCAGCTGTATTCACCTTGCAGGTGCAACTATGTGGCTTTTATCCTGGATAAAGTATTTAAGTCATGGATGTTTAAAGTTTAACTTCTTCATATGTCTAATATTATAGTTTACTTTTCATTCAGGAAGTATGACGCTGCGCTGTCAGTACGCTTCTCCATGTTTGTGATTGGTCAAATGTTGCTAGCCCCGCCCCTTTCATGTGAACGCGCACTCAGCCGGACAGAGAAACCCTGGCTTGAGTTACCAAGTTGATAATCAGTGCCGTAGGACCGCTTAGCGAGAGCGCGTTTGTTTTGGGTTAGGTAAGCCAGCTAACTTAAACATACAGAGGGTATGTTGAACTGGATTCGTAGTACAGGCCTCTGGTCTCAACCATTTTCCTATCATTCAGATAAACAAAGCAAACATTTAAGTCAAATTGTATTTTGAAATCGAGTTAGACTATCTGTTCCTTCTCGTGAAGTGAAAGACATTTTTTATTTTGTTTCTTTCCGTTAACTGTCGGGAACTGAGTATTTTTTTGTACGTTTTTGTGTTTCTCTTATTTTCCTACAATACTGTTATGAATAAGAAATATGAAGGACAGACCATCTATTTCTATGTATTAATTTCTTTTGAGAAAGGGTAATATAAGATTATTTTCTTCTCCCTGCTACTTTTCGGGTATGGTGTGTTTATAGAGACATGTTTTGTAAGTAATTGTTATACATTGAGTTGTGCATACCATGAACGGAACAAATAAAATGAAATGAATTAAGGGTATCTGTATAAAATAGGACTTTTGTTGTTTCCTCCAGGGTGACTTTGTCACAGAGTATGTAGGAGAGGTGATTGACTCAGAGGAGTGCCAGCAGCGAATCAAACGCGCCCATGAAAATCACGTGGCCGACTTTTACATGCTCACCCTCACCAAGGTAACATCAATGACACTGATCAACATTGTTCAGAGGATAGACCTTCAGAAGCATTTCTAAACCCCCTGTCTTTATGTTCAATCTGTCCTTGTAGGACCGTGTGATCGATGCTGGCCCGAAAGGGAACCCGGCTCGGTTTATGAACCACAGCTGCAGTCCAAACTGTGAGACACAGAAGTGGACGGTAAACGGAGACGTTCGCATAGGACTCTTCACCCTCTGTGACATCGAGGCCCGTAGGTTCCCATAGAAACACACATGTATTCTGTTACATTCATACATTTACATTCAAACTTATAGAAAAACTTTTTTCAACTTCTTTTTGGTTAAGCTTTAGTTTTCAGAGTGTGTTTGCTATGTTTAGTATTTCAGTAGTTTAGTTTGTTTTTGTTAGAGACAGGTATAATGGTACATGTACAAGTACATGGCTACATATATATTAAGAACATGGCTTCAAGAAGTTTGTAGAAATGGCCTTATAGTTGAAATGGTTTGATTTGGGTAACAACTACCACACTCAGTAAAACTCAGTAAACTCCCCATGTTAATCATGATCACTATCAGACCTCTGTGTTTTATCTGAAATATCTAAATCATGTTTGCACTTTGTGCACCAGGAAAAGCGCTATATAAAAAAGATTTTTTATTTTGTATTATTATGTTCTTATAATTTAGTTCTACAAGACAAATTGCATGTGAAAAAAAAAAGGGGTTAACTGGGAAGCAATTGAATATCAAGTCAAATTCAAAGTTATAAGGCTTTTTTTTTTTTTTTTAAGTCTCCTTGTTTTGGTATACAGCTTAAAAACCTAAACTGAAATTAATGTATGTAAAAAAGTGGTTTCCGGTTAGTTTTTTCTTGAAGAATGGGGTTATTTAGTTTCCACAGTGTGTGTTTATGATCCTGATGATCCATCTGTTGTGAATCTTGTCTCTGGTACTCCTGCAGAAACAGAGCTGACGTTCAACTACAACCTGCACTGTGTGGGCAACAGGAGGTCGTCCTGTCACTGCGGCTCAGAAAACTGCTCGGGGTTCCTCGGGGTGCAGCCAACGGTGAGTGCAGTGACCTCTCGTCAGGGATCCAGTTCTTCCTGTGTTTGATATCATTTAATAATGTATCTATAATGTTTCTTCCAGAGTGCTGTGGTGATGGAGAAAGAGGAGAAGGCCAGGAATGCCAAGCTGAAGCCGAAGAAGCGGAGGCTGCGTCCGGAGAGCAAACACTGCCACGAATACTTCTGCTTCTGCTGCGGAGAGGGAGGCGAGCTGGTGATGTGTGACAGGAAGGAGTGTCCCAAAGCATACCATCTGCACTGTCTCAACCTCAACAAGCCTCCTTACGGTAATAACACAATTGCCTTTTGTGTGTGTTGAACATTGAAATGTTTATGCGCACAATGTTAAAGTCTTGCAGATTTTTTTCCTGGTTATTTCAACCGAATTCAGTCAGTTCTCCTCTCCCCCTGTTCTTGCGATGCCTTTTTGTAAGTCACTAGCAAGAATCCTTCTATCTAAAGGCCTGAAGAGGTAAATGTAAACAGTCATTTACTATTAAGAATGTGGTAAAACATTTTCTTCTCACCACCCCAGAGGTTTCTGAGAGACCTTTTGTAGACAGACCAGGTTGGTAAAGACGGACTTGTCAGATTAATTAGTCCAAATTACAAAATAACATTTCATCAGCTTTTAGTACCCAATAAAAAAGTTGACGGCGAGCGCTGTCGATTATCCAGAGGAATATTTTTAAAGAAAGAGCTTTTTCTTTTTTAATTGAGTGTAAGTTTTTTAACGGTTTGACCACCACAACACAATTCCTTTTACCTTCATTAAAATTATAGAAAAAAAGTGAATGAAACCCATTTTTTAGAGAGAGCTGGCACATAATTAAAAATAAACTACAAACACAGCATGACCTTGTCTTCAGTTACAATTCTGTTCTCCTTGTTCCTACTTCTACTTCTGTGTCTCAAATCTGCATTTTATCAATCCCCCACTCCAAATGCAAAACCAAAGTTGTGCCTTTGCTTCTTGAGCCCTCGTTTATTTGGGGGGCATCTACCGACAGGTTTGTCCTCATAATGATCTCCATGTGTGTCTGCAGGACGTTGGGAATGTCCGTGGCACGACTGCAGTGTGTGCGGCGCCCCGGCATCGTCTCTGTGTGACTTCTGCCCTCGCTCGTTCTGCCGGGAGCACGAGGAGGGGGCGCTCACCTCCTCCTCCCTCGAAGGCCGTCCCTGTTGCTCCAGTCACAACCCCGCCAGTCCCCTGGGCTCCAACTCCAGTCTGACCCTCCCCCGCCGCTCCGCCCTGAGCCCCGTCAGCGTCAAGGAGGAGCCGGAGGAGGGCGAGCCGGCTTCAGAGTGACACCTCAGCCCCCTCAATACCTCATCCCCCTGAAAAGTGCGCTCCTGGGCTCTGATCCCCCTCTGTCCCGAAGCAGTGACCAAAGGGATACAGTGATTTTTTTTGACCAGTGCGATGGGTGAGTCGATGAACAGCTCCACGCCGTCAGTGGCAGGCAGAGCGATTGGAGAGGACCATCATGATGCGCCCGTTCCCCTCCTCCCTAGCCAGAAAACACCTCTCACACTCTCTACAGCTCTCCTCCGCCCATCAGAGGGCCACCACCTCATTACGTGTTACAGCTGTTGAAATAGAAAATGTTATCACATCGTCAAATACGGCACCTTGCAGAAACTCAAAGAGCTCTGTGGAGGGAGGGGTGGAGAGAGGAGGGGTAGGGAGGAAGAGGAGGAGTGTGAAGCTGCTCCTTGTTCACCTACTGTAAGCCGTGATCGGCGTCTCCCACAAACCTCCCCCTCCCCCCACCCCCACAGCCGATCATCACTCCAGACGTCATCGCTATTATCTCTTCTTCTTCTTCCTGGAGGAAAAAAAAAAGGAGGAAATGATAGATTTTGTGCAATTCTTTTCAAATACACTACATTCCAACCTTCTTTAGACATGGTTTCAATATACTAATGGATATAGATGAATATAAGTATATACAGTATCTATGTTTGTTAATGTTTACAGACAGATTCTCTCACTTCATCTCGGTGAGTGGTTGTATTATGTTTGTTTGTTTAGGTGTTAAACATTACGCAGACCTCCTTGTGAAAATAGTCCTATTAAGGTGAAATATAATGGTGTATAGTGTAATGGTATGACATTACAGAAGTACTTGTGATTTTCATATTGCCAGTCTCACTCGCCATTGTGTACATAATTGGCTCATAATATTGTAAAGTACATAAAGATCAGGAGGGACGGAGCCTCGCCTCTGGTTGTTCCTGGAAGAAGGAAACGCTTTTTTAAAACAACTAGACAAATCCTTTTTATTTTGTTTTTTCGATAAAGTTCAGTCCCCTCATTTCCTCCGAGCAGTTATTTGTATTGTAGATGGAGGGGCTCAGCTTGTGATCACTGGTGCTGTCTAAGTATTGTTATCAGCCTTAAGCTTGGTTCTGGCTGTAGAAAGTGCTGCCCAGAGTGCAGTCCATTTCAGTAACGTCGTGTACTGTGACCGCTTAGATGCTTATTTTTTTTGTTTCTGTTTTTTATTTTGCCAAACCTTTCTGAAAAAGCACTTTTACACAGCTTGTCGCTACACAATTTAGCTAGGTCATACATATACAGAAATGTATATCAAAAGAACATAAGACAAGTGTTTCAAAATGGATACCTCTTCTTCTTGTAGTAACGTCGGAATTAAAACTGTGTTGTAACTTTTTTTCCTCTCGGTCAGAAACGTTGTGAGTTGCTGGAAAGGGTTTTTTGAAGTCTTTGAGCAGAGTGGCCTAAATGATGCTGCTTTCTTTTGGCACAAGTAGGAAAGACTGCCAGCAGAAACTGCTTTGGACAGAAATCGACGGTGTCCGTGAGAGGCACATTTGCATTTTCCACCTGGAAAACATCCTAAAGGCTGGCTGTTATCTAGAGACGTAATGGTATGACAACAGTCCGGTCCAGTACGATGTACAAATACAAACTTCTGTACAGTGTTTCTAAATCTCCATCTGTCAAATCAAAATGTTTTGTATTTATTGCACCACATTTTATACCAGTTTCATTTTCAATCACCAGTGCAGTACTTTGTCTCGCTCTCGACCACGGTGTAAGTGAAATAGACTATTTAAAAAAACCATGGGGAGTTTTACATTATATATCTGTGTTTGATCATTGCATATGTTCTCTGTTATTTTACATTTGGTGTAATGATTCCACACTTTGGTAACAGCCGCTGCTCATCGCCCTGTACCGCGACTCACTGTAATTAGTGTTAAAAGCAGTGTGAAGCAGTTAAATATGGGAATGTCAAGTTTCAGTTCAGTTTGTGTGTTCTTTAAAGCCTGGACTTAAGGAACGGTAAACTTGATCACAGCCTTTTGCTTGTGATTCTGTTTGTTGTATGTTCTGCCCTTAATACTCTTTATTTCTTCTTAAGCCTCCCGACGAGCCACAGGGAGAAACTGTGCCAATTTATCTAAAACATTTCAGTTCATTCAGGGTCTTCTCGAGTGCAGGGAGTTTATTCACTCAGTCTCCAGTTTATTTGGCACACGGAGTTTAAAATAATAGTCTTACACAACTGTCAATGCAATAAATCTACCTTCATGCACATTATAATGTTCAGTTTGGGTTAAAAGCCAGTTTATAAAGGTGTTGATTAAACTGAATGATCCTTTTGGAAGATGTTGTTTGTGCTAATGTTGAGTTTTTACTCACTGGTGTTTGTAATAGGTCTTCTACTCTCATTTATTCAAACCTAAACGAAACACAAAATGAAATGACTCTTCTGTGTATAATGCAATACGGTTTAACAGCACCACATCATTCAAAATGATCCCTTTATCTATTCAACATCTCGTAAAAGGTTTTTAACAACAACGGAACATTATAACCTTTATGAAGCTGGGGTTTATTGCATTGACCGTTGTATTCGACTGCATTAGTTTTATCTCTGTGTGCCTAATCGTGTGAGTGCCAATTGTGAGGAAAAAAGCCGAAGGAAAGGGTGAATAGGGAGCCATTGAATGCAGAACAATGAGACAATTATAAGCATGATTTATGCTAGAAATATGATACATATTTAATCCTACACAGTGAAGATCAAACACTTAAGTACCATTTAGCAAGACACATTTGAGTTTAGAAGGACTTTAATATGCTAAACATATGCAAATAATTAATTACACATAGGCACTAATCTTGGGGAAAAAGCACATAAAAAAAGCTCAAACTTCCTTCCTGCATCTTCAATGCCTTTAAATGACAATGTGTTACATTTATATTCAAATTCTCTCCCGCTTCTGCATTCAACCGCTGCTTTTCTTTTGTCTTCCTGTTATTATTTACCCTTTTTAGGAAGCCTTTTTTTTGTCAATTTCTGAGAAAGAGATTAAACTTGCTTATTACTTGCTGGTCCTAAATGTGAGAGGGATGCATTTTTGTTTAGGAAATGGTCCAAATGTTCAGTATCAGGTTGGTGCGTCATTAGGCTCAGTTAATTTAATAACTCAAATCGGTCTGTGTGTCTAAACTTGAATATCCTTTTTATTTATTGATGCATTTTATTTTTCTGTTTTATATTCAGAACGCAGGCATCCTTGACTTTTGTGTTTGTGTCTTCAGAGAAAATGTCTGACTGATAAGTTGTGATTATATAACTGGTCTTAAAGCCCTTTTTATTTTCAAAGTGACAGTTCAGCTGATGGCATGCTTCAAACATCAGACACTGGTTTAATCCACTTCAGTTGGAACATCTTTAAATGCCTGATTTGAATAACTAATGTTTGGTTTTTCTGTTCCTTTATTTGTTTTTTACCATGTTGCACAGCGCAACAGCCTTTCTTTGTTTGCACCTGCAGATCGCACGATCATAATTACTTTGTGCCAGTTTGTCTCTTCTGCCCTTTGAGCTGACGCAGCAGTGTTACCTTTGCTCCACTTAAGTGTCCCAGCGCGCATCGTTTCATTCTCTTAAAATAATCTCTGAAGTTTTGTTGGTTTATCGTCATAGTAGTGCCCACATTAGTTTTTTAAAGAGATAGCATGTTTGTCTGATTTATGTGGCCCCTTAATACGCCTAAAAGGATTTTTCTAAGTGTCCAGGATTGATATTATTTTTTTATATACACTTACATTTAAGATGCCCCCCACTTATGTATGTCAAAGGCTATGTTTCAGTTCACTGTGACGTCTTTTGTTTTTTTGTGCAATGTTGCAGACTTTCTCTTTTAATTGACATGCTGTCGAAGGAGAAAATAGTGTTTGAATAAATAATAAAATCACTTTCATAAGCACTCATCTCTTTTTTACTTGTAGTAAAATTACTTACGGTAACTCTAACTGGGGTCATATCTATCTCTCTTGGTGTTGCTTCAATACAAATGTGGATGAACACAAAATACCATGTTGATTACTGTTCGACCTGTGTTACTGCATACTGCATATTGTTGAAGAACTTGTAAATAGTTTGCATTGAACTTGCATAGAATCATGTTACTGTGGCGTGCTCTTTTTGCCTGTAAAATTCTGCTTCTAAATGTGTGTGACTGTTGAGACGACACTCTTTTTGTACATGACTGTCTTTTTATTTGAGAATATTGATTCTGTCCTTTTTCATTCTAAAGTTGAGTTTGAAGAGTTCAGACATGCCTGAAGTTTGACTTTAATAAAACTGTACTCTGTCTCAGTGAACACTCTCACTTTATGGGATTTATTTCAACTACTTTAAAATATAACTTAATTGTGATGAAAAGAAAACAAGATAAATCGAGATAATGTTGCCTTCATGTTTAGTGGAAAAAAACAATTCAACATCATTATGTGTGTAAATGGTAAGGGATTTACCTTAACAGAGTATTACCTAAGCTAAAAGTGCATAATTCATTAATTTATACTGTGAAGTTACAGCACATTCACAAATGCGTGATAATCAGAATAAAGTAACTTCAAACAGCATCACTTTGTGAACCCATAGGAAGGAACGTTTCATTTATTAAAATTGTATTGTTTCTGCAGGGCTGAGTGTAACGTGACGTGGCTTTTGCCTCCAAAGGTCAAGTTGGATATTTTCCCACATGACCATTTCCGGTTTACATAGAACAAGAGATCTCATACATGTGCAAGCCACTCATCTGTTTAGTGTTAAGTCACTCATTTAAGAAGATTTATGGAAATGGCATCAAAACCGACTTAAACTTAAGTTCATTAATTTACTTCAAAGTAAGTTGTACTGATTATATTTTAAATCATTTGTCATAAAGAAGCCTCTACTTCAAATAAATAAAAACGTATGATCCTAATAGACACAGACGTTTCAATTAATTTAATTTGCTTTTGTTTCTGCTTGTTATAATATAACTATCCTTTTATAATTGATGTGTTGCATTGCATTTACTCTGTAATCACACTTCGTCCTATATTGATATAACAAATAGTATGATCGATGTGTCATCTCCAAAAGTAATGAGTTTTTCCTGAATGACACGTTTTACTTTGAAATACATAATTTTATTTGAAAAGCCCAAACCAGAAGTAGTTCAGATGTAGCCGTTAGCTTCACTGTTCTCCTCCGGTGCATCCCTGAATTTCTCCAATATGCCACTTCCACCAGCCGCAGAAACAGAGGATGCGGAGGCATGATTCACGTTAACGGCACTCGTTGATATGAGGAGGAAGAGATAAAATAACGAGCTGTTAAAGGTTAGTAACGGAGACGATATCCGCTGTTTTGACAATGCGGAAATGGGCCAGATGCTTCTTTGACAGATGTTGCTAGCTAGCTTAGCATACTCTGCTAACATATTTTTTTCACATCACAAAGACACTAAATGTTTTTTTTCTTTTCTTGCTATTGACAAAAGCCGTTCATTTAATATTTGTATTGTATTATAAAACTGGTTTTATGTTATATGCAGGTAAATAACAGCTTTAAAACGTGTGTGTATCACCTGGAAGAGGAGCGCACAGGTGCAGCATGATGGCCTGTATATCAGGTTTACACAGAGCAGAGGCTTAACCTGTCTATAACCTGCTGTGAAACAACATCATCTTTAAATATATATTACCAGATATATACTCAAAGTAGAAAGACAAATATATATTTGTTAATTTTTTGTAATTTTTTTTTTGTAAAGTGTTTAAGGGACAAGGGTCAATAACAACTGCTGATGAAAGAGTGAAAAGCCCCTTCAAAAAATGTATACATGTCTCTGGGCTGTGGTTTGAAATCTAGTAATGTAAAAAAAAAAGAAGGAATTGTATGATAAAACATGATATAAGGATATAATTCAGTCAACAATGATGAAAATCATCTTACATAGAAATCTGACACAAATAATAGCTATACCATTATTCAACCCTTGAATACAAAAATGGGTAATTTCTCAGGGTTTGGTTTTGCAGACTAGATGAGAGACACAACATCATCATCAACCACAGATGGAAATGAGCTTTTAGCTATAATCTGGCATATTGCATCTCTTCTCTTTGCTGAGATTAATGTTTTTGTATGCATGGTCCTTCTATAAATAAATACAAACAGTATCCTGAATAATCACCATGAGTATCACGGAGATGTCAGATGAGATATATAGTCCTTCAATGAACTAAAACCGCCTGTGCGGTTGTGGAGGACCGTTTCTTAGAAAAGTTATTACTCTATTCCTCAGATGGTTATATAGAGCAGATGTTTGTACTATTAAATGACGTGTTTACATGTGACAAAGTAAATGGTGTACACACGGTCTCTTCACTAATGAAAAAAAATGCTCACCACTCATTAAGGCACCAAACTAAAACTCAGCTCTTTCTAGTCGCAGATAAGAAATATGAAAGTAGAGTGAGGATGTTTGCTGTTGACTGAAGTCCACTCCAAGATACAAAATGAAGAGGAGGTTGCTTCGTGGTTTCCTGTCGGAAGTCTCTGTCCGGTTTGTGCTGCTTCTCGTGTTCCTGTAAGTATATACAACATTAAATCACTTGCATCATTGCTTTATCTATCTATTATGGAAAAGGCAGGCGTGGTTTTTAAGGATGATAAAACAATCACAGCTCTCTTTGTGTTTGTCTAGTGTGACGGAGCAGCTTCCTCCTTTTTACCGTGAGATCCAGCCAGAGGAGATGTGGCTGTATAAATTCCATCGTGTGGAGAGAGACCACGTACCCACCTCTCTTATGTTTGTACGTTTTATGCCTGCATGCCTCTGCGTTAAATGTAACAAAATATAAACGCTTCAGCTCACTTTTCCCACCTTACCCTCTCCTTCACAACAATCAGAATATCTGATGTCCCTTTCCTGCTCTCACTCGTTGATGGAACCATATCAATGTTTATTTGTAGCACTTTGATCACAGTTTTTCTCCAAATGAAATCATGTTTTTACCCATCTTCAGGGACATGCCTTCAGATGAGGTAATATACCAGAGTGAATATCACTTGTTTTATTTGTGGTTGTGTCATTGTGGGATAAAGCGCAATGCAGTATTTCATGCTCACAGTATTGTCGTAGATTTGACTTTATTCTAACAAGTAAGTATCTGCAAGTTGCTTTTCTTTCTGTAGTGAAATAAACAGAAACCTACAGCTGCCTGAAAAGTCATTTGTAATCAAAAACAAGAACGAACACTGGGAAAGTCACTTTTTAAGAGGAAGTGCAAAGCAGCAATCAAAGGAAGAAGTTTGTCGTTATTTTTAATAACCTACACACAGACATTCATTTTATATTATCGTTGTTATACTCTCCTCCTTCTCTTAGAGTGTGGCAGTTTTCACCCCACTGATTGTAATCCTGGTTTTCACCTTCCTGAATAAGTCCGAGCGAGGAGATCTGAAGGAGGCCTCGCTGGGTAATTAAGCTGCATACACACATTTCATTTTTCATATTAAATCTAAAATGTCAACTAATGTTTTGGTCTTTTTTATGACTGTGTTTTTCTCATCATCCAGCTGTGACTTTGACTCTGGTGCTCAACGGAGTTTTCACCAACGTCATCAAACTTGTAGTTGGCAGGTGAATATTAACACAAACACAGCAGTTGATAATACATGTCAGTGTCACAGTGAATAAAAGCCTCACCTCTCTGTGTTAACAGGCCTCGGCCAGACTTCTTCTATCGCTGTTTCCCAGACGGTCAGATGAACCTGGAGTGGCGCTGCAGCGGTGACCCAGATGTGGTCATGCAGGGCAGGAAGAGCTTTCCCAGCGGCCATTCTTCCTGTAAGGGCCTTTTGTGGTTGATTATGCCTCAGTAGCTTGTTCCTTTTCAGCAGGCAACAAGAAAAAAGGGCCGGAGGGCTTATTGTATATCTAAAACGAGTATGTAGTGTATTTTAGCCTCTAGGCTCTTATTTGGCTATCTGACAAAGATGTTACTCTAAGCGACAGCAAAGTAACAATGCTGTTGAGTTTTTCAAATGTTTTTTTGGCCTTAGAGCACCACAAGCTGAGTGCCATGTGGTTTCCCTTTATTGGAGAGAAAGCAGACATCTCTGGCGACAATATCTCCAACACTCTGCAACTCACACCAACACAATCTAGATTATAAAAAGCACTACAGGTCAGGGATATCAGGAAGAACTTCTCCGTCTCTAATGCTTGCCCCTTCTTTTATTGCTGTTTTCTCTTCCAAGTTCTCTCTGTTTTTGTAAGACGTCCTCTGGTTCTGATCATCTTTTCCATCTTTTCTCCCCGGCCCCAGTTGCCTTTGCAGGTCTGGGTTTCACCGCGCTGTACGTGGCAGGAAAGCTGCGCTGCTTCACTGCGGCGGGCCAAGGCAGAGCGTGGCGGCTGTGTGCCTTCCTCACACCTCTACTCTTCGCCACGGTGATCGCCCTCTCCAGAACCTGCGACTACAAACACCACTGGCAAGGTCAGAGTCTCAGAATGACACAAAGCATCATGTAAAAAAACAAAAGCATTTCCATTACATCGGTGGCAGTAGCAGAAGATTTTGGTTTGGAGGGACACAGGAGAGGGGATGCGTGAAAAAGGAAAACCAATTCACTGGTAGGGAAAGCTGGTGGTATTGTGTTCTCAGTGTTTTTAGACTTATGGAGCCTCGTTGTCGTTAAGACATGGATGTTTTTTTATAGCCGTTCCAAACACATAACATCATGTATGCCCTCGACCTCTCTCTCACAATAGGCAGCCTGTATAAACATTTGGTGCTCATTCAGTCCTCTGCATACAACAACACTGAGCTGTGCGTCCTGTGCTTCTTCTCACAAATGTAACTCCCTCCACCTCCCAAAGTTGGTATTGTTAGCTCTGCTTTCAACAAAACAACCAGATTGCTTTCCCTTTTTTCTTTGGGCCCACGACTCGCTACAAATTTGGTGACTTATTGACACTGCCAGAGGAAACTCAAAAACGATATTCAAATATATTAAACTGCAATTTATCTCCAATGCTGCTCAGAGTATATCTTTCATGGGCATCTTCTCCCAGCACCATGGGGTCTCTTCATCCCCTCTTGGGCCATGTGCAGGCAATCTCTCCATCAACAACACAACCACTAAGATTTGCACACATGTATTGTCCAGAGATGTTGCCAATATTTAAATGAACTTATAAGCGATGGTGGCTACTTTAAGAGCTATTGCATTGGAAAAGAGATGTAAACACTGCAGAGTACTCACGGCTGTCAGCCTTAAATCGAGCCTTCTTCTTCACGGGCGATCCTAACTGATGGCCGACAATATTGTATTAGTGTAAGCCAGGCTGATGGAGAACCAGACTAAAGGCTGATAATCACATTATTCTATAATATTATATTGTGCAATCAACATTTACTTTATTATTATAGGTTAAGGCAAAATAGTTTTCTATCGCCAATTTAGTGAGCCCCAGATCTAAGATGATCATTACCAATGACTGCTTCTCTGTAAATGTGCATATGACCATAAATAAAAAAGCTTTAAAGCTAACCCTAACCCTTAAGTTTAAAGTTAATAGAGTCGCACAACCTAAAAAGCATCTCTTAAAGTTAGTATTTTTCCAAAAGGTTTGATATAAATGAGATATTAGGTATACAAAGCCTTAATGTGAAGCTATTATATTATATTAACATGAGTGTGTGTTTTGTCTCCTCTCCACAGACGTGTTGGTGGGCTCCCTGCTGGGCCTCTTCTTCTCCTGGCTGTGCTACAGACAGCACTACCCCCCCCTCCAGGACGCTGACTGCCACAGACCCCTGCGCCACAGAGAGACTGTTCCCGCCGCACAGGAGCGCAAGCTGGCCAACTCCACCTACATCCTGCCCCTGTAAACAGCTGTAACTGTTTCTGATGTCATTCATAACGGGTTACATGGTAATCTTTCTAACTCTGGTTTCCAAACCTTGAGGGCTGGGCAGTTTATTCATATGTATCTTTTGGCATTGATCATTGTAACTGTATTGTGGGATTTGTTTTGAATGTTGGGACTTGGTTCTTTTTCTAAACTAAAATGACTAATGACACATTTCTTCTGAATGATTTCTGAAACACTTTCTGCACATAACAACTCCAGTTTAGCAACTACAATAACAATTTAATCCCAAACATGAATCAACATCATTAAAGTTATCACGAAGGAGGGCTTGGTGGATACCATGATATTGATTGTTTCCCATCAGGCCTAGCCCGACACACCCTATGCATTGTGCCTCTAGAAGACTTAACTTTAAAAACTCACAATAGCTGAGCAGGTCCAGGACACAAGCACTGCACGGATCGTTCACTGCCCGTTAACCTCCGAGCCGCTGCGAGGCACTTTCTCCTGATCTAGGAACAGTATTTGGTAATCGTTTTTGTAAACTTGAAATTTTTTCAGCAAGCAAGATTTAAAAGTCGTATTTTATTTTTTTTATTTGTGCATTCCTGTCTTTTAGGAATCAATATATAGTGAAGAGAGTTGGCGCTCACCCGACAACACTTTTGATAACCGAATAATCTTTTAAGTATTTATCAACTAATGATGCCAAACACTTGGTGGCTGAATCTCCTTAGCTGTGAGGATTAGCAGCTTTTTTATTATTACCTATTTAATTCAATACTGTATGACTGTTGGAAAAAACAAGCATTTGAAGCTCTGAAAGATTGTGGTGTTTCCTCATGTTGCTCACATTTACCAGACTAAATCATTAAATAACCAATGAATGTACAAAAAAAGAATCGGTAACATCAAATTAAAATAAATTGTAAGCTTTAGCTCAACATAATACGCTTGATTATTATTATAAGGGTCTTCGAAGTCTTCTCTGGCAGATGGAGCTGTTTCCCGACCAGAAGCGCACTGTTTGCTAAGTCAGTGGAGGGGTGATGAATAGAGAAAGGAAGACATCCTCTGAAACGACACACAGGTTACAGTCTTGCCGAAGTTCACAAACACTTGGGCTCATGTGCCGGAATGATTACTTTTTTGGTTATTTAATGCCACTTGAGTCAGTTTCACTCACAAATGAAGGCTGAGCTAATGTTGACAGTTGCAAATAATTGAGAAGTGGACCTTGGAATTTAGATTCTGCACAATATAGTCATTTATTTGACCAATAACATCAATCTATCTACACATAGAGAAAGTTAATCCGAACTAAATCGTCTTATCATGGCATATGTAATTGCGATTTGTAATTTAATATCTCTAAAAGGCTCAGTAATTTGCCAAAACAGCTGTGCACAAGTTCTTAACGTTACTCAAGCATTATAGTGCATTTGTTGGGAACTATTTTCAGCTGAGGATTGATACAGATTTAGTCCAAGTTGGAATACAGTTGAGGTCTATGGCACGATAAGTACAAGAACATTTGATGTTGTTTTTTTTTTTGCTTTGTTGACAACTAGAAGGAAAGCAAAACTAAAGTACACCTTCATATTAAACCAGGTTAATCAAAACCCCTCAGTCAGCTTTATATCTTAATATCAACATTGCTTTACTGTTTGTCTTGACTGCTTTAAATCTCTCTGTCTTCCTGCATTATATCGTAAATTCACAGATTGTTAGATTATTACATGCAAAGGGTTCATATGCCCACTCCTCAGAATAACACACTGATGTAGCAGCTCCGTTCCCTTCCTCTCAGTTTTTGCAGTGCTTGCTTTACTTGATTATAACGGTTTTGCTCTAACTGGACAACACATCTGCTCATACGGTTAAAGGGATATTTTGGATTGTTTAAAGTGGGGTTGTACAGTATGTGGTTCTTTTTACAGTCATTGTAATACAGTAGAGGGCAGCAGAAATAGACAGGAGTTCTAGCTTTGGAGCACGGCAATGTACTGCTGTTGACGGGTCAATACGTATGAGTATGTATTTTAGACACGTAAAAGAGAGGCCCACCTAAAAAATATTAATATAATTTTCAGATTGTTTCCTGGTTGGGAACTGAAGACGCTAATGCTACCTCGATTGGTTAGTTTGTTTGTGCGGTTATGTTACTTTGGTATATGGGAAACAACGCTTTAATTCTTAAGTTACACTATAAAAAACAAACAAGCTGATTTAAACAGATATAGACAAGAAACTCCTGTGTTCTGCAGAAGTAAAAGTCCTGTTTTTGTAAATAGAGTCTGATGGCGTTGGCAAGAACTCGATACCAGTTTCAGTTTGTCTGTCAAAAGCAAAGGCAAAGCAGTAAGATTGTCCCCTGAAAGGAATCACCTAAACTGATACTGATATTAGGTTTTAAGTGGCTAAAATATATGTTGGGGAGTTTACTTTTGTTCATTGCTCTGCTCTCATGCCTTTACTCTTTTTATCCAAATTGCGTGCTGATCACCAACTACTGTAGGTAATACACTGACTATGGATAAGTCAACCCCACTTGAAAAAGTCCCTCCCTTTTAGAAAGGTCTCTGGCTTACTCTGGCTTTCATCCCTCTCCTCTGCCAGTCTGAAGTGTGAGTGTTCACCAGAGGTGGAGGGAAGTAGTGATGTGGGGTCTGTTGTTGGAGTGGCGGTGAAAGCAGGCATTTCTGATGAGCCTAAATGAGGTCAGCCTGTAACCTCTCCAGGTGATGGTGCTATAGCCTCCAGTGCTCCTGCTCGTCAGGCTTTCTATCCTGTTTTTATTGGCACCTAAAGTTTTCTGCTAGTTTTCTTCAACCATGTATGTTATGCTTACTTTTATGTGGTGTTTCTGTTGTATCTATCAATGTATTTGTAAGGTTGGTTTTCAATTGGAAATTCATCAAAATGTTATGTAGATTATGACAACATGAGAAACAACCACACCTCTTTTATGTTTCTGTTTTAGTGTGAAAAGCAGCCAAAGGTTTTGCAGGGTCAAAGCCCTTCGTCGCTGTAAATCCAGATTGAAGCATCGGGATCACAGTGGTCTCAGACCAGACTTGGCAGAAAAAAAGTGATGAATTTGTGCCTTTGTTTACTAAATTATTTTGCTACAGGGAATGAAGTATATACTGCATGTATCAGTGTATGCTCTCTGTCATGTTGGGGACACAACTTTGTGTTTGTTATTGTTTAACAGCGTACAGGAGCCAGTTGGGAAGACACTTTATGATGTTTAAATGTGGCATGCTGCCTTTCTTTACCTCAGAAAAACCTTTTAAGTTATTTCCACAAAGTGTTGATGGAATGAAATGTGAAGAATACAAGAGAGTAGCCAAGAGAAAGAAAAGCCTCACTTTTTGCAAACATTTTAGACGATGATATCTTTAATTACTTGGTCAATCTATTCTAGCAGGTGGTTATGAGATGATGTACAGGACTAAGTCTATTTAATTTTTGGGCATGCAGGAGTTTACTTGAATTTTCAATCTGCACTTAATGTTTTAATGTTATTTCATGAGAGTATGAATCATATCTGTGGGCATATTGCTCTAAGGGATCTTTCAGACAAAATAAATGTTCATTCAACTTTGCTGCGTTTTGATGAATTCCTGCATGTTTTACAGTTAAGGAGCAACATTTTCCTTCATTACTTACTTCCAGATCGCCACATTTCCATCTGTTTCTACAAATGTACTTACTTTTTGGTTTTTGTTTACTTTATCAGGTTGTTGACTATGTCCTTTAGATCTTCTGTCATGATAAGGATCATGATGCTAAAACTTGCTCATCATAATTTGCCTTGGCTTTCAACTCGTAAGGCCCGTGCTCATGCTGATACAGTATCCTGATTGTACATGTCGTGATGCTTTTAATGACTCTTTTGGTGACACGAATGTTTTAAATACTCTTGCAACACACCCTGTACTTTGCTTATTTCTTTTGACTCAGAAATGTGTGATGATTACAGGAACCTTCATAGTATAGGATTTTGAAAAGTTGGCCGGCATACCGCAACAAAAATAGTTTATTACAAAAGTGCTCAGCAAATTATGATGCAGATATGGTACAGCTACAAAATGCAGAATGTTCAATTTTCTGTTGAGTTTTAATGCTGCAACGCTCTGAAGTAACTATATTTACTGCAATGCATCTTGCTGTTGTTAGTCCTGTTTTGAAGTAAGACTCAATTATTTTAACATTAATTTGTGGGATAATTTTTGCATAGAGTTGGGTTGCTAATACATATTAAAATGAACAACAAGGTAGTAGATGCATTCGTTAGCAATGAAAATCTTATTTCTCATTTATCCTACAACCATTGCTAGTTGAAAACATGTTTATCAAAGAAAAAGATGATTCTAGTGATAAAACATTTGTCAAAAAATTGCAATAGAGCAAACTAAAATAAGGGATACCATTAATATAAGATAAAGAAAAATGTCAATAAAAATGATATCTGCAAAAACAATTCAATGAAGAGAAAACTTGTGAATGTATAAATGGATATTCATACAGATACATAGGTGCAAATAAAACTAAAAGTATATAAAAAAGTTAGTAGTATGAAGATTGAAGAATAAAGTATCCTAAAATAAAAGTATAATACAGACATCAATGTCTGTCACAGATTTATGCCAACAATATTCCTTCAGTGACCCACTGTTTATTGATTTAAACATATAACCTCAGATGGTAAACAAACAAACAAACAAACAAACACATAACACAACTCAAAGTGTTCGGACTTCGGACATCCCAACTTTTGCCAAAAATCAAATACTGTATAAAGAACACAATGGGCAGGCACTATAGTGCGTGCGTGCGTGTGTGCGTGTGTTTATGTTTGTTTATGTGTGTTTATTCTTTATTTAGGTGGCATTTTCTTCAGTGTGCGTGGCCTCTAACGTATGACGTCGGTTCGTTAACTCCCAGTGATTGGCTGGAAGTGACGTGCCGATTTGGCGCCACATTTCCAACAAGGAACAGCACAGAAGAAAGCTCCGTGTCTCTGACAGCGAACCAAAATAACCCGCAGTTCATGTTCATTTAGCGTTATTTTAACCCGTTTTCTTGATCTTAAACCTTGTTAAGTTTGCAAAATGTTCATCACGGACATAAGAAAGGAGTTTTATGAAGTTGTTGCCAATCAAGTAAGTTGTTTTATCGCACTAACTGTGACGTTAGGTAACCATGAAGGACTGTTTGCTAATATCAATTAGCGGATAGGTACTTCATTGTCAGTTTAGGTCCCATGTAATTATGTTGTACTACTTACTAAACATATCGTACATTGCTTTTCTTTCAGAGAGTGGCTCTCCTGGTGGCGTCAGACATCGACGCACTCTGCGCCTGTAAGATAATACAGGTAATACAATATCATGCTAACTGTTAGCAAACATTAGCTCCTGTTACCTCTGTGCAGACTGGGCACACACTAAAATTATACTCAAATGTCGCAATAAAGTTAGGTTTAGGTTGGATTTTGACAGACATGTACTCCTTCATTTACTCAGCAGTGTCCTTTTTCTCAGTTTCACGGAGTCTCAGAGCCCTCGCTATAACCAAACCGTTTTAACATAAATAAATGGCTAAAAACAAAACTACTGTTTTTTTCAATACCATGCGTCCTAACTTGCCTATATTAGTTAACATGTGTTGTCTTAGTTGGCACACCTTTTGATAATAATAACTTTTATTTATATAGCGCTTTTCAATAACCCAAAGTCGCTTACAAAAAAAAATTAAAAGTACAGAAAGGGGGTGAACAGGCAGAAGACAACATATTGGACAAGAAAATTGAACATGAACATTACATGAACAGGCAAAGGACAACACAGGGGGGGAGCAAGCATAGGACAACGAGCAAAATAACGGATAACGGAGGACAATAATTGATTTCACATATAATTTGAAGTGAAATATGATTCCAGTTGTATTAACATCCTCCATGGCATGTGACCCAGTAACTCCAAACGCATATCAGATATTATTACTACACTGAACAAGTAGGACATGCCTCTATTTTTTTTCTATTTTGGCGCTTCTTGTATTTTACAGCAATAGTTTTATATAAATACTGCTGTTTGTTTTTGAAAGTTCTAGCTTCCATGTCATGACTCCAAATAAGTGCAGATTTCTATTATTACACTGAGCAAGAAGGACACACCTCTAATATCAAATAGAAGGAGAACATTTTGGTCACATTACATAAAATGTAAAAAAAATTACATTTTCAATTGAAAACCTGCTGAATTATCTGGAAAAAATATTTTTATAAATTACAGGGTGGAATAAAACGTGAGTCCTATTTGTGATGTGTCATAACAGGACATCCACAATATTGAGAACATCTGAAATGTAATAGTGAAAAATGCAGCCACAATTAACCACAGCCTCAAATGTCAGATTTAAAAAAAAATGTTGTTTCACCAAAAGTTATAATCTCAATATTATAACAATTGCATTAACTTTATTAAAAGGCAAACCGGTTATCTAAACTCCATAATGTGAGAAGCTGAATCCTTGTATATAATCTAGGGCATGGGTGTCAAACTCAATTTCTTCGCGGGCCACATCAGCATTATGGGTGCACTCAAAGGACCGGTTGTAACTTTAAGACTATATATCAAAACACATATATAAATATTTAGTATATATAAAATAATGTATTATCTGACATTATTGCCTCTGCATTGGATTATTATCGGATAGGGTAATAACTTCATAATTAACTACGTCTGAAAGCAGAAGTCTAGGGCAAATCATTGCAAGTCTCTTCACTGTGTTACAAAATGATAAAAAAAAAAAATCTAATTCTGAGAAAAAGGCAAATTCTAAGAAAAAATGAATATTTTGAAGAAAATAAGTCAAATTCTGAGAAAAGAAATTGTTCTGAGAAAAAAAGGCAAATTCTGAGAAAAAAGTCCAATTTGAGATGCATCGTGGGATATGTAGTTTATGGGCAACGTGCTTCTGTAAATCGGCATGTAACCGTATAATAAACATATTATATTCTTTGCAAGCTCTTGAGGGGCCGCATGAAATGAAGTCGCAGGCCGGATTTGGCCCCCGGGCCTTGAGTTTTACACCCCTGATCTAGGGTGAGGCTCAAAGCTACTAAACTTGTGTTTATTAGTTTAGAAAACAACACTTAACTCTCCTTTATTGCCTGACACATAATTTAACTAATGTGTTATATATTTGTTTGTAAATATTTGCCAGTTCATTTTTTGTCAGTTGTTTCAGCTGTTGATACCAGGAAAAGATTAAACTATAATTTCTGAATCTTTTTGTCTCTTCAGGCGCTGTTCCACTGTGACCAGGTTCAATACACACTTATTCCAGTAACAGCCTGGCAGGACCTTGGCACCGCCTTCCTTGAACACAAAGAGCAGGTATGAATATTTAGATCTGTTCGTACATGTGAATAAATGACAGAAGGATAAACAAGGAAGAACTGTTGAGGTTCACCAAACTGTCACTCTGAACTAAATGTATTATTTTGTGTGTTGTAGTTCAAGTATTTTGTTCTCATCAACTGTGGGGCAAATGTTGACCTTCTTGAGATGCTTCAGCCCGATGATGACTCCGTCTTCTTCATCTGCGACACTCACCGGCCTGTAGATGTGGTCAATGTCTACAACGACAGCCAGGTGATGGACAATGATCAATTCAGCTTAAAGAAGCAAGCTTGGAAAATATCGTTCATTTTGGATTAGCTGCATCCATTTGTCTTTTATTAGCCTTTGCAGTACCGTAATTTTCGGACTATAAGGCGCACCTGAATATAAGCCGCAGCAGCTAAATTGAATGATGTGTACATATATAAGCCGCAGTGGACTATAAGCCGCAGGTGTTTTAATGTTTAATTACCATATGTAAGGGTTCGTGCACAGAGGGGATTGTCGGGAAAGAGATGGCTGTTTGAGGAAGCTCCCATTTATTAACATTTCAACAAACAAGTTGCATATTTGCATAATGTATTCAAGTGTTAGCATTTAGTGCAATAGTAGCTACAGAACATGTACTGTGCTGTGTAAACTGTACTGTATCACATAGCGTTTCAGACACACAAACTTTTCAACTTTCAAACTTAAACGGTGCGCTTCCAGCGCACGTACCGGTAGTGATCTACAGCAGCTGTTTTCAACCAGTGGTACGGGGACAAACTGTCTCGCTCTCGTAATGTCTGTCTGTCTTGCTCTCGTTCAGTCTCTCGTACCACTTTCGGTTCCACTTTTACTTTTGCGCGCTACCTGTCTCACTCTTTTCCGGCCTCCAGCTTTTCCTGCTGGAGCCCGCCGCTTAAAGTTGGGGGTCGCGGACCGGCCATAGAGCCCATAGAGTTAAAGGTGGTGGCCGTTAGCTGTAAAAATCCATAGATTAGCCGCACCGTTATATAAGCCGCAGCGTCGAAAAATGGGAAAAAAGGCGCGGCTTATAGTCCGAAAATTACAGTACTTGATATTGTGCTCCCCTTCCAACCAGAAAGGTGCCAAGTGTAATGAGCACAATCAACAATGCTATTCTGACTCTTATCCCTAGGGGACCCCACAATTGCTTTGGCTTTGTTCTCGTCATCATCTCTATT